AAATAAAACATTTCATTCATTTCAATGACAACATGGCGCCCGACAACAGTGATAGACTTTTCAAAGTCAGGTCACTTATTGATTCACTCCTCCCCAAATTTCAGGCTCTCCTCTCAAGACCAAATGTTGTCTACAACAAATGGTCCATTCAAGTCTGAAGCATATATCCCAAAGAAGCCATACAAATGGGGATACAAGATCTTTGTGCTTTGTGACACCAAAGGACTACCAGACATTGGGGCAAGTGGAAACATTGCGCTAAAGCTTGCACAAGTTATCCATGGGGCTGTCAATCATCGGCTGTACTTTGACAACTGGTTTTACTCCTTGGATTTGTTTGTTGCTCTTGCAAACAATGGGATACCAGCTGTTGGGACTGTACGGCAGAATCGACTACAAGGGTGCAGTTTCAGTGCAGACACAGAAATGAAGAAGAAGGGAAAGGCACACTTGAAGAGCAACAGGTTGTTGACAATGTTGAAATAAGAGCAGTCAAATGGAAGTCCGTTCAGATGCTGTGGGTCACTGGCCAGTGGTTGAAAGTGAGCGACAACGCTGCAGACTCCCATTGCAAGGGCCAGACTGTAATCAATGTGCAAAGTGCACCGTTCACCTGTGCCTCAACAAAAACAAGGACAAGTAAGACTATTTGATGCAAAGACACTTCAAGGGACATGGTCATTTTACACGACTCAGTTTCACAAGACAGATGAAAGCTCAGTAATTGCTTGTATCCTGAGAACTTTGAAATCTAAAAGCAGGCCAGTAAAGTCTGAGAAACCCTGCCCAAGTGACTCATGCATACACTAAATGTTTAATGTATCTGCTAAACAATCTCCCAATGAGCACATTAAGCAACACTTTAAATCCGCCTGCCGTGCGGGAACACATTTTGTCTAATTCCTCTAGATTTACCGGTGTAACCTGCATGGCTACAGGAGAGGAAAAGGGGGAAAAAGTGCTGACTCACGTTAACTTTGAAGCGCCCGTTCAGTCCAATGTGTCCGTTCCTTGATTATTTATCTTCCTTTAGTCTGTAAGGGTCCACCCATCAAAAGAATCAACACAGCTTTTCAGAAAGATTTATCCAAGTAGTGAATCCTGTCGTGTGAAGTCTGTCGCTCTCTGTCTGCTAACTTCTCTCATCCTTGTGAGGTTGCTGCCTTCAAACTAAAAGCCATAAGCCGTCTGTCGGAGATACATCAAATGAACGACGTGTATTTGATAATACTAGATAATTTTTACATAAGTATTATTCTGTTTGAAATAAAGAAACTGTTTCTAGTAGTTTCAGTTTTGTGCAAAAAGAATTAAAGGCCTGTCCCATATGGACGCCTGTCCCAAATAAAGGCAGGGTCAATTCAGTGATTTTAGCAAATAAAAGCCCGGGCTATTATTCAAAGTTTTACGGTATTATAGTTTGTTTGTTTGTTCACTATGCACTGGAGAAACAAGGAGAGCGTTAAACAGACAGAGTTGGAGCAAGTAGGAGAGTGTTAAATCCTCTCTTTTTAGTCTGTAGTTCATTATCTTGTCATTTCTACCTATTTACCTGTAAGAGGCTGAAAGAACATTTTGTTAGGGAGTGGGAGAGCGTTTTGTTTCTTGCTGTTGTTGTTTGTAAATTAAAGTTTAGAAGTTCTGATAACTTTGTGACATGAATAAAATCTACATACCTGAGATGGGAAAATTTTTTTAATTTACCATTTTGTAAACTTTTCTACCGTAAATGCCTGTTTGTCGCTAATTTGCATCATACCTAAATTTATGTCTATTCTATGTGCTATAGACAATTAACAATCTCAACTTAATTTAGCATCAACTTGGAAGCAGAAACACACATCATTATTTTTTTTATATAATTGCAAATAAATTCAGGGGTTGAGGGGTTAAGTAAACAGTAAATACAAACAGTGGAATGTTAAATGACCAATGTTGTAATGTTGCATTAACATGACAACTTGGAGGTGATGAAAAAGATTTTAGAAAATCTAGCGGTGTTGGTAACAGGAACACACTCCTCATGCTGATAATCCTGATACAGTCTCCTCCAAAAGTATTAGAACGGTAAGGCTAATTCCTTTGTTTTGTTTGTCTCTGAAGACATTTGGGTTTAAGATCAAAAGACGAGTATGAGACAAGAGTTCAGAATTTCAGCTCTCATTTCCTGGTATTCACATCTAGATGTTTAAACAACTCAGGACAAACCACCCTTTGTATTAGACCACAGTATTCTTAGGTGAGCAAAAGTAATGGAACAAATAATCTTAAAGTAAATAACATTTACTATTTGGTGGCAGAACCCTTGCTTGCAATATGTGCCTCCAGCCTGCGACCCATCCACACCCAAACTGTTGCATTCTTCATTTGTGATGCTGTTCCAGGCTTTTACCGCAGCTTCTTTCACTTCTTGTTTCTCGGGGTGTTTCTCTTCAGTCTCCTCTTAAGGAGGTGAAATGAATGCTGGGTTAAGGTCAGCTGATTGACTTGGCCAGTCTAAAACCTTCCACTTTTCCCCCTGATGAAGTCCTTTGTTTCGGCAAATGTTTCTGTCCACTTCTGAATTCATTCTGCTGCGACCATCATCAGTTCTATCATCAAAAATATTAATGAGATCATAAGCAGTTCCTTTCTTTCTCCACACGTTGCTAGAGATTAATCTTGTTCTCATCAGTCCATCAGACTTTTGCGGCTCATCTCTGTACAGATTCATCTGGCCTTGCGATTCTTCCTGCTGATGAGCGGTTTGCATCTTGTGGTGCGGCCTCTATGTTTCTGCTCTCTGAGTCTTCTTCCAGCAGTGGATTGTGATACCTTCACTCTGCACTGTGGAGGGCGTTGCTGATGTCACTTCCCGATGTTTTGGGGGTTTTCTTCACAGCTCACCATATTGTAGGGGCGGCTGTGGCTCAGGAGGTAGAGCGGGTTGGCCGTAATCGGAAGGTCAGCGGTTCAATCCCTGGTTGCATGTTGAAGTGTCCTTGGGCAAGAATTGCCCCTGGTGGCTGTTCCGCCAGTGTGTGAGTGAGTGTGAATGTTAGTTTCCGTTTGAGCACTTAGGCTCAGTGTATGAATGTGTGTGACTGGTGAAAAGACTAGAAAGTCGCTATACAAGTACAGAGCATTTACATTTCCGTCATCAGCTACTGTTGTTTTCTTTGGACGTCTGTTGCTCAGTACACCAGTAGTTTCTTTCTTTTCAGGACGTTCCAAATGGTTGTGCTTGCTCAATAAATGTTTTTCAAGTGCGTGAATGAATCCAAAATGACCCTTAAAGAAGGCGGGTCAGCGGGCAGAAGGGTAGTGGGTATGCGAGTGTAGCCCTGCAGTCTGTGTTGTAGCTTCACCACTGTTGTTCCGAGTTGTCCGCACCTCGGGACGTTCGGATCATTTATCACCATTGATGAACCACACGAAGAATATTAGATGAAAAATAGACCCGTGAGGAACCGCGACGTACGTGCAGTTTAGGCCTCACGGCATGCACGCAAGACTCTGCACAAGACTGGAGAATGGCAGGCGACAGAGAGAAAAGGGTCAACAATCAGTCAGTTTATCTGTAAATGTTAGAATATAGACTGCAGCAGCTCTGCCCCCCACAGTCAACACTCACTGACTGGACTATCAGTCGACTGTAGGCAAGACTTTACAATTCTGATTCGACTGTGTGAATCCTTAGTCGGGGACAGCCCTAATATCTAAATAGATCTACACATCAGAGGTCAGGTGACTCACTGCGGGCACCAACAGCTTGGTGACTTCCTCCACCGCTCGTTTGAGTTTGATCTCGGCTCGATTCTGAGCTTCTTCCACCGTGATGAGGACGTGAAGGTCCTCGTTCAGGTGCTCCCAGTTAGGCTTCCCTCGGTTCTGCTCCTCCTGCACACAGACAAGTAGAGAGACAGACAGGTAGAGACAGACAGTAGAGAGACAGACAGGTAGAGAGACAGACAGGTAGAGACAGACAGGTAGAGAGACAGACAGGTAGAGAGACAGACAGGTAGAGACAGACAGTAGAGAGACAGACAGGTAGAGAGACAGACAGGTAGAGACAGACAGGTAGAGACAGACAGTAGAGAGACAGACAGGTAGAGACAGACAGGTAGAGAGACAGACAGGTAGAGAGACAGACAGGTAGAGAGAGACAGACAGAGAGACAGACAGGTAGAGACATACAGTAGAGAGACAGACAGGTAGAGACAGACATTAGAGAGACAGACAGGTAGAGAGAGACAGACAGAGAGACAGACAGTAGAGAGACAGACAGGGAGAGACAGACAGGTAGAGACAGACAGGTAGAGACATACAGGTAGAGAGGTTGAAAGGTAGAGAGACAGACAGTAGAGAGACAGACAGGTAGAGACAGACAGGTAGAGACAGACAGGTAGACAGACAGACATTAGAGAGACAGACAGACAGGTAGAGACAGACATTAGAGAGACAGACAGACAGTAGAGACACAGGCAGACAGTAGAGAGACAGACAGTAGAGAGACAGACAGGTAGAGACAGACAGGTAGAGACAGACAGTAGAGAGACAGACAGGTAGAGACAGACAGGTAGAGAGACAGACAGTAGAGAGACAGACAGGTAGAGACAGACAGGTAGAGAGACAGACAGTAGAGAGACAGACAGGTAGAGAGACAGACAGTAGAGAGACAGACAGGTAGAGAGACAGACAGGTAGATACAGACAGTAGAGAGACAAACAGTAGAGAGACAGACAGGTAGAGACATACAGGTAGAGACATACAGTAGAGAGACAGAAAGGTAGAGAGACAGACAGTAGAGAGACAGACAGGTAGAGACAGACAGTAGAGACAGACAGGTAGACAGACAGACATAGAGAGACAGACAGACAGGTAGAGACAGACATTAGAGAGACAGACAGACAGTAGAGACACAGGAGACAGTAGAGAGACAGACAGTAGAGAGCAGACAGGTAGAGACAGACAGGTAGAGAGACAGACAGTAGAGAGACAGACAGGTAGAGAGACAGACAGTAGAGAGACAGACAGGTAGATACAGACAGTAGAGAGACAGACAGTAGAGAGACAGACAGGTAGAGACAGACAGTAGAGACAGACAGGTAGAGAGACAGACAGGTAGAGACAAACAGTAGAGAGACAGACAGGTAGAGAGAGACAGGTAGCGAGAGACCGTAGACAGACAGGTAGAGACAGACAGGTAAGAGAGACAGGTAGACAGACAGACATTAGCGAGACAGACAGTAGAGAGACAGACAGACAGTAGAGAGACAGACAGGTAGAGACAGACAGTAGAGAGACAGAGAGACAGACAGACAGTAGAGAGACAGACAGGTAGAGACAGACATTAGAGAGACAGACAGACAGTAGAGAGACAGAGAGACAGACAGACAGTAGAGAGACAGACAGGTAGAGACAGACAGGTAGAGACAGACAGTAGAGAGACAGACAGGTAGAGAGACAGACAGGTAGAGACAGACAGGTAGAGACAGACAGTAGAGAGACAGACAGGTAGAGACAGACAGGTAGAGAGACAGACAGGTAGAGAGAGACAGACAGAGAGACAGACAGGTAGAGACATACAGTAGAGAGCAGACAGGTAGAGAGGACAGACAGAGAGACAGACAGTAGAGAGACAGACAGGTAGAGACAGAAAGGTAGAGACAGACAGGGAGAGACAGACAGGAGAGACAGACAGGTAGAGAGACAGACAGGTAGAGAGACAGACAGGTAGAGACATACAGGTAGAGACATACAGTAGAGAGACAGAAAGGTAGAGAGACAGACAGTAGAGAGACAGACAGGTAGAGACAGACAGGTAGAGACAGACAGGTAGACAGACAGACATTAGAGAGACAGACAGACAGGTAGAGACAGACATTAGAGAGACAGACAGACAGTAGAGACACAGGCAGACAGTAGAGAGACAGACAGTAGAGAGACAGACAGGTAGAGACAGACAGGTAGAGAGACAGACAGTAGAGAGACAGACAGTAGAGAGACAGACAGGTAGAGAGACAGACAGGTAATACAGACAGTAGAGAGACAGACAGTAGAGAGACAGACAGTAGACAGCAGAGACATACAGTAGAGACAGACAGTAGAGAGACAGACAGGTAGAGACAGACAGGTAGAGACAGACAGGTAGAGACAGACAGGTAGACAGACAGACATTAGAGAGACAGACAGACAGGTAGACAGACATTAGAGAGACAGACAGACAGTAGAGACACAGGCAGACAGTAGGAGACAGACAGTAGAGAGACAGACAGGTAGAGAGACAGACAGTAGAGAGACAGACAGGTAGAGACAGACAGGTAGAGAGACAGACAGTAGAGAGACAGACAGGTAGAGAGACAGACAGTAGAGAGACAGACAGGTAGAGACATACAGGTAGAGACATACAGTAGAGAGACAGAAAGGTAGAGAGACAGACAGTAGAGAGACAGACAGGTAGAGACAGACAGGTAGAGACAGACAGGTAGACAGACAGACATTAGAGAGACAGACAGACAGGTAGAGACAGACATTAGAGAGACAGACAGACAGTAGAGACACAGGCAGACAGTAGAGAGACAGACAGTAGAGAGACAGACAGGTAGAGAGACAGACAGTAGAGAGACAGACAGGTAGAGAGACAGACAGTAGAGAGACAGACAGTAGAGAGACAGACAGTAGAGAGACAGACAGTAGAGAGACAGACAGGTAGAGACAGACAGTAGAGAGACAGACAGGTAGAGAGACAGACAGGTAGAGACAAACAGTAGAGAGACAGACAGGTAGAGAGAGACAGGTAGCGAGAGACCGGTAGAGACAGACAGGTAGAGACAGACAGGTAGAGAGAGACAGGTAGACAGACAGACATTAGCGAGACAGACAGTAGAGAGACAGACAGGTAGACAGACATTAGAGAGACAGACAGACAGTAGAGACACAGACAGACAGTAGAGAGACAGACAGGTAGAGACAGACAGTAGAGAGACAGACAGACAGTAGAGAGACAGACAGACAGTAGAGAGACAGACAGGTAGAGACAGACAGTAGAGAGACAGACAGTAGAGAGACAGACAGGTAGACAGACAGACAGGTAGACAGACAGAGAGTAGAGAGAGATGAATGTGTCAGTGATACTGATCAGCTGTTTGAGGAATAGGTCTGCATCTGAATCTGGATCAATAACAATACAAAGCTGGTCAGGTCAAAGCGAGGCTGTACTCGCTACTAAAGGTGCATCAGCTAAACCTGGGTCAGGGTCTGAATACTGAGAGAATCCTGTTTCTGCTTTGTTGTTATGGGGGCTGACAGACTGATGAGGGGAAAACAGGAATGTGAGTGATTTCAGCAAAAACCTGCAACCTAACAAAATGCTGTTCCAATGTCCTACTGTCCATGTACTGAGGGATTTAACCCTAACCAAGAAGCTTTAGGTCTAAACCGGACCAAGCCGGCTTTCGTTAACCACCAACCTTTGTAGCGTCCATGTTTCCACTGTACAACTTAGAGCTCATGAACACACCAACATAGGAAGAGGGACTTTCCAACTCAGGACCTGGACTGTCCGAGGTGCCTGTGAATGCACCAGGGTGACGAGACCAAGAGCCCGAGGAGCCCAGAGGATAACCAGGATAACAATATACCAGCAGGACGTCAGTCCAGAAACAACTCTCACATTTCTCATCCATCTGGTTTGGTTATACCTTCTGTCTCAAGTGTCTCTGTTAGTGTAGCAGGTGGCTAACCTCATTACCTCACACACACAAAGATAAACACACTTGTTTTCAGCTGTTTGACCTGAAAGGTCAAAATCAGTGTCGATTTTGTGTCTCTTGGTGGTGGTCGAACCACCACCACCGAGACACAAATCCACCACAAAAAAACAAACCAACCAATACAAGGATCCACCACTACGACACAAAACCACCACAGAGATAGAAATCCACCACACAGATACAGAACCACTACAGAGACACAAATCCACCAAATAGAAAAAACACTACTGCCACACAGAACCACCATCAAGAGACAAAAACACCACCAAGACACAGAACCACCAACAAGAGACAAAAACACCAAGACACAGAACCACCCAAGAGACAAAAACACCACCAAGACACAGAACCACCATCAAGAGACAAAACACCACCAAGACACAGAACCTCCACAGAGAAACAGAACCACCACCAAGACACAAATCCACCACCAAGACACAGAACCACCAACAAGAGAGAAAAAACCACCACCAAGACACAAACCCACCACCAAGAGACACAGAACTACCATTACGACACAAAACCACCCAAGAGGGACAAACCACCACCAAGGCACAAATCCACCTCCAAGACACAAATACACCACTGAGACACAGAGCCACCACCGTGACACAACAACACCACACAGACACAGAACCACCACACTGACACAGAACCACTATTAAGACAGGCACACAACCACCACGTTGACACAAATCCACCACAGAGAGACAAACCATCACTAAGACACAAAACCACTACTGAGACACAGAACCACCACCAAGACACACAGAACCACCACAGAGATACAAAAACACTACTAAGACACAAAACTACCACCGAGACACAAAACCAACAGCAGGAGACTGAAAATCACCACCAAGACACAGAACTACCAACAAGAGACAAAAAAACACCATTAAGACACAGAATCACCACCAAGACACAGAACCTCCACAGAGAAACAGAATCACCATCAAGACCCAAACCCACCACCAAAACAAACACAATTCCACACAGAGAGACAAACCACCACTAAGACAAAAAACCACCACTAAGACTCAGAACCACCACCAAGACACAGAACCACCAAGACACACAACCACCACTAAGACTCAGAACCACCACCAGGACACAGAACCAACACAGAGACACAAAAACACCACTAAGACACAAAACCACAGCTGAGACACAGAACCACGACAGAGACAGAAATCCACCACAGAGAGACAAACCACCACTAAGACACAAAACCACCACTGAGACACAGAACCCTCACAGAGACACAAATCCAACTCAGAGAGACAAACCACCACCAAGACACTAAACCACCACTGAGACACAGAACATACTATGACACAAAACCACCACCAAGACACAAAACCACCACTGAGACACAAAACCATCACTTAGACACAAAACCACCACCAAGATCCAGAATCACCACAGAGACACAAACCACCACAGAGAGACAAACCACTACCAAGACACAAATCACCACGAGACACAGAACCACCACTGAGACACAAAACCATCACTTAGACACAAAAAACCACTAAGACACAAAACTACCACCGAGACACAAAATCACCAGCAGGAGACAGAAAATCATGACAGAGAAACAGAACCATCAAGACACAACCCCCCCGCAGAAACACAGAACCACCACTGAGTCAGAGACCCACCACTAAGAGACAAAAACACCACCAAGACACAGAACCACCAGAGACACAAATCCACCACAGAGAGACAAACCACCACCAAGACACAAAACCACCACAAGAGACGAAAACACCACAAGACACACACCCACCACCAAGACACAGAATCACCACCAAGAGACAAAAACACCACCAAGACACAGACCCACCACCAAGACACAGAACCAGCACCAAGATACAAAACCACCACAGAGACACAAAACCACCACAAATCCCTTGTCCAGGCATGAGGAAGGAAAGTGACGTTTTTATTACCGCAGGTGCAAGATGGGATGGGGATTCTCTGTCATCTCTAAATCTTCCAGCACAATTCCAGAATCCTCTTTCATCCAGTATAACATATGTCTTCATTCAGCAGCCCATTCGTACAGAATTGAAGTTGGACATGGAGAGGCCTCCTTTAGATACAGAGAGCTGCAGTTTTTCCAATTTAAATATTGGTCTTTTTTTTTTAATCCCATATGAATTCAGATATCTGTGCAAATTTCTAAAACATTTTGTTATAGGATACAATATTCTTGGTAATACATTCATTTTATCAATGCAATCCTACAAATAATAGAGAGCCGAAGCACAGACCATCTTTGTAAGTCATTCTTAATCTTGCTATTACTGGTAATGTATTATTTGGTTAACTGCTTCAACATCCAGGACAAAGATATCAAGAGATTTGAGACCATCTCTATTTATCTGGAATGAATATTTGTTTATTCTCTCTTAGTCTGTCTATTGATAGTTCAACTGACTTCCAAAATTAATATTATAACCTGGAAAACTCCTGAATCTATTAACAAACAAAATCAGTTCTGGCAGAGAGGTGCTAGAATTAGTGAGGAACAACAAAACATCATCTGCATACAAGACAATTTTATGCTCATCTTGCTTAGTTTTTCTGCCTTTTTTCCAAAAACTGCCAATCTTTATAATCTCCAAAGCTTATTCTTGCTTTAGTGATAAAAAACATAAAAAAAAATAGTAAGTAATGTTCTGTTGGCGTCTTTCTCTCCCGCTACCTGCCACTCGCTTGAATGCTAAAATGAATGCTGGAATATCTGCGCCGGCTAGTTCAGACAAGTTACCACCCGATGCAGCCTGGGTAAAATGGGAGTGTCAATAAAACTTGGGAATGTTAACCGTTCTTGGTGAAATATAAACTAAAAGTAAAAGTGTACTAAAAGTACACAGGTACACAAGTGCGTAGGTGTGTGTGTGCGTGTGAGCTTGCGTTACCTTTTTCCTGTCTCTCATGGAGCCCCTCCCTCTCACCATGATCTTACATCCTGTCTCCGCCTCCAGCTGCTTCGCGGTCAGACCTCGAGGCCCCAGAATCCTCCCCACAAAGTTAAACTGGGAGAGAGAGATCACACTCTGGTTACGGTGACAACCAGCCAATCAATGAGCCAGTATCCCCCTCATTGAGCCGATCAGCTGGCTTCTGGAAAATCCAACAGCACTCAAACGCAGCATCAAAACTCTCAGTAATCATTGATCAGTCACCAATGACTTGCTAATCAGCTGGCATTATAAAGTTTTCGCTGACATCTGTCGATCACCACCTGATGCATGCTGGGTAAAACGGGCGGAGCGAGAACACATCAGGTTATTTGACTGTACTTGGCTAGATGTTTGAATTTGACTTTTGAATTGGAACAGTACTAGGGCTGCAGACTGATGACATTTTACAAGAACACAAAAACAGACAAGAATGCAGACTGAGAAATAGTCTAGGAGTTTATTATTATAGGATATGTTTAAATAAAGTTTATAAGTATTGGAGTTTATATTATACGACATGTTTAAGTAACGTTTATTAGTATAGGTAGGTCTATGGGGAAAGGGTTTTTGGGGCTCGCTTTACATCATGTGACCCAGATTGGCTTCAGAGTAGGGATGTTCCAGGGGGCGTGGTCTCATGTAGGACGAGGGGGGGGTCCATGTTAATGTCTAGTTATATTTTGAGGTGGTTTAGCTTCAATGTGACTCCTCAACACACAAAGATGAATCACTAATAATCAGTAAACCTGTCAATATAAATCCTGTTAGTGCTTACATCAGGATGCTCCTTGGTGGGGACGTAGAGTTTCTCCTGCAGCTGGACGTTTGGACCGACGGCGTCCGGCAGCTCGCTGATCCTCTCTGAGCCGTTCAGAGTGTCGATGTACATGTCCTTCCTCACACGGCTGATCTCTGAAACACACACATTAACACAACTATAATAACATGTTCCAGCTGTTTATCTCTACCACGTTATTTAGATATTAGGGAAACCTCTGACTTCACGTCTCTAAACTAAACAGCACAGTGTATAATGTGACGCTGTGGTTCCCATCAGCCGATAACTGTTTCAGTCCCCTTCCCATGTCAGCTAGCATGGCGTACACCCGGGTCTCTGACTCAACTGCTGAAACTGAGAGAGTCAGTGTTGGCAAGCCAAACAACTGTCACAGTATTCCTGTCTGAACTAACATGGAGGCTGGCTCGCTGTCACCACAGTGACCATGAGGTTGTCACGCTGCTCGGTAAAATGGAGCAAACTGGGAAATGAATTCCTGCTGACGACGCAGACAACAAGTAGCTTCTCTGACCAGTGTCCCACTTCTTCTCTGATGTCACCAGTCACAACATCAGCTCACAGCCGAGCTACGCCATTGTCTGTTTAAAGTAAAGATTAAAACAGAAATAAAGAACCAGGAGCCCCGCCCGCTCTGTCCGAGGGAACCAGGAGCCCCGGCCGCTCTGTCTGAGGGAACCAGGAGCCCAGAGTGATCTGTCTGAGGGAAGGAGGAGCCCGGAGTGCTCTGTCCGAGGGAAGGAGGAGCCCAGAGTGCTCTGTCGAGGGAAGCAGGAGCCCCGACCGCTCTGTCTGAGGGAACCAGGAGCCCGTAGTGCTCTGTCTGAGGGAACCAGGAGCCCGACGCTCTGTCTGAGGGAACCAGGAGCCCGGAGTGCTCTGTCTGAGGGAACCAGGAGCCCCGACCGCTCTGTCTGAGGGAACCAGGAGCCCGGAGTGCTCTGTCTGAGGGAACCAGGAGCCCGGAGTGCTCTGTCTGAGGGAACCAGGAGCCCCGACCGCTCTGTCTGAGGGAACCAGGAGCCCGGAGTGCTCTGTCCGAGGGAAGGAGGAGCCCGGAGTGCTCTGTCCGAGGGAACAGGAGCCCGACCGCTCTGTCGAGGGAACCAGGAGCCCGACCGCTCTGTCTGAGGGAACCAGGAGCCCCGACCGCTCTGTCGAGGGAAGGAGGAGCCCAGAGTGCTCTGTGAGGGAAGCAGGAGCCCGGAGTGCTCTGTCTGAGGGAACCAGGAGCCCCGACCGCTCTGTCTGAGGGAACCAGGAGCCCGAGTGCTCTGTCTGAGGGAAGGAGGAGCCCGAGTGCTGTCTGAGGGAACCAGGAGCCCCGACCGCTCTGTCTGAGGGAAGGAGGAGCCCAGAGTGCTCTGTCTGAGGGAACCAGGAGCCCCGACCGCTCTGTCTGAGGGAAGGAGGAGCCCCGACCGCTCTGTCTGAGGGAACCAGGAGCCCGGAGTGCTCTGTCTGAGGGAAGGAGGAGCCCCGACCGCTCTGTCTGAGGGAACCAGGAGCCCAGAGTGCTCTGTCTGAGGGAAGGAGGAGCCCGGAGTGCTCTGTCTGAGGGAACCAGGAGCCCGACCGCTCTGTCTGAGGGAAGGAGGAGCCCGGAGTGCTCTGTCTGAGGGAAGGAGGAGCCCCGACCGCTCTGTCTGAGGGAACAGGAGCCCAGAGTGCTCTGTCTGAGGGAAGGAGGAGCCCGGAGTGCTCTGTCTGAGGGAAGGAGGAGCCCGGACGCTCTGTCTGAGGGAAGGAGGAGCCCGGAGTGCTCTGTCCGAGGGAACCAGGATCCCCGACCGCTCTGTCTGAGGGAACCAGGAGCCCGGAGTGCTCTGTCTGAGGGAAGGAGGAGCCCCGACTGCTCTGTCCGAGGGAACCAGGAGCCCCGACCGCTCTGTCTGAGGGAAGGAGGAGCCCATAGTGCTCTGTCTGAGGGAAGCAGGAGCCCCGACTGCTCTGTCCGAGGGAACCAGGAGCCCGGAGAGCTCTGGACTTCACACTTCCAGTAACAGCAGTAATCTCTAAACTGTTTCTGAGCAAAACCTCTGCAGGTTAAACTAAACTAACTAAACATGTTTACTGCTGAGGGACCTGAACAGACTCATTAGAAATCGGTTAAGTTTGTGAGCCCTGAAACCAGACCGGACCCGGACGTACAGCCGATCTATTATTGAGAATCAATATCTCATGATGGAGTGTTTCTATTTTATCCTGCGCAGCTTTTCTAGCATTTATTGTACCGGTTTAGCGGCACAGGAAACTCACAGACCAATCGCATGTACTCCAGTCATCTCATGTGATGCTGCTCAGCCAATCAAATCTGTGCAGTCCGAGAGCCATTGCCAGAGCCGTTAACGGCCCCGAGTCCGCGAGTGAGATACACAGAGGAAGAGATGAGATGAAAGATACTTCACATGGCTTTTAACCAAGAACGTACAGATTCTCATGTACATTCTTCCCACGGAGGTTCAAAACCAGAGTATCTCATGGATCTCCAATCGTAGCCAGAGCTCAGGTTTCTCACTGGACAAGAGAAAGTAGGAAGTGGGAGCTATATAAGAGGGAAAGAAAGAGGAGGCATTAAAGTGTGAGAGTGTTAATTGCAAAATTGGTTGAGACTGAACTTCAATCACTCAAAGCTACAATTTTGTTGTTATTTTTTTCTGAAATTACGCAACAAATAAAAAAATTTTATTTTCAGATGCACATTTCCAAAATGTTTTTTAAATGCCCTTTAGATTACTTAAATTTAGAATTATTCTTATAGTTTTTTTATCAGTAATATTGTTGAGATAGGATCTGATTTGACCTTTAAATACAGTCTATGGGTCAGTTGTTGAGTAAAAACACACGTAGGTCCAGCTAGGCTAAACGTTATGGAAGGCCACTGAATGATAACGCAAGTTGATGTTCGGTTGACCTTGCTTCATTAACTTCTGTTCTCTAAATGGACCTCTTTGAATTTTAATTGAATTCCCCTGATCTAGTGTTGTGAACGTAACACGAACACGATGACCACCGTGTCCAGCCAATCAGAGTCCAGGATCCTTAATATCAAAATATTGCATAACTTACATGTATACATATTCTGAATAGGGAGGACAGACGGTTTGAAAGAGAAGCGCAGAGAAACCATCTCTCAACAGGGGGAGAGGTTTGAGACACCACCTCTCCTCCACCTTCAGCGCTGGCCTTTATTCTTTCAGGAGACCAACGCTCACATGTGGCCTCATGTGAGAACGACGGTCGCTCAGACTCAGGTGACTCCGACGACCACGACTGTCGTTCTAACAGCCAGCAGCACTAACGAACCAATCAATGTCCACCGACTCGTTCGTCTTCAGTGCCCTTGACTTCAACCTTTTTGGATATGTAGGTCATTGGTTTCCGTTGTAAAGCTGTAGTAGTAATTGGCGGTGATAACCTGATGGACTAGTTCATCCACATCAGGATGAGGCGGGAACGTCTGGCTGAAGGCCTCCAGAATACCTCCAGCATCTCGGGGGAGGTGGAGACACGGACTTAGAATGAACCATGTTCTTAACCTCCTTGTGGAGGTGGTGGATCGAGGTTTTGTTCAGAAACCAAAGAACTGCTGGTAGAAAACAGGCCGGTGTCTCAGTCCTGAAGCAGCAGGAGGTTTCAGGAGGACTGCAGTTTCTGAAGAACAAAAACTCAGTTCAGGGAAGTGAAGAAGGACTCTCAGCTGGCTCAAAGGGAATGTGACGAACCATCAGACAACTCAAGAGGGGGGCAGCACTGAGGCCGGACTGCTTCAGCAGGGAGGAGAGGTTCTGACCCAGAATGAAGATGCATCAGAAAACCCGAGAGAGACCCGACTGATAGGAGGCTAGCTGGGAGAATTTTATTCTAGAGAACAAATATTATCTGAGGGCCCTCTTCATATCAGGTCCAGCAGGTCCAGACCGGACTCTGTAGGTTCTGGTGGTTTGAAAGCAAAGGCACAAGGCAACATTGCAACTCTGATGGTCTGGCAGGGAACGGATAGAACCGGGCCACTATGTGCAGAGCTTAGGAGAGGGAACAGGTGTGTAAGTGGGCGGGCAATCAGGTGACCGTCTGGTGGACGGGTAGAAAATGGCAATGAAGGGGGGAACAGGGACGTGGCTGGAGTGGAGAGACAGTATGTGGCCCTGTGAGGACTGGATCACAGAGGAACAGAAGAGTTCACTGTAAAACAGTATTTATTTTAAGACGTAGGCGTCTTTGTTCCAGCTCAGAAACATTCGTCCTTCAGTCTCTGGGTTGCACTTCTAATGAAGCTGTTCTTTAATCACTCTGTTGCCTGCAGAGCCCATTACAGCACCGACGCCAGCACAGGGAATTATGGGTAAATTGATTTTGCTTCCACACTTCATTTCATTTTAGCTTCTGAATTCATTTTTAGACCAATTAAGTGATGAATAGCTGCACTGAGTGAAACTGAGAGAGACATACAT